TCCCAGGACCAAGGTTACCGGTTTCAAGAAGCAAAAGACAACAGTCAAAAGTAGCTTCGACGAGCCGAGAGAATTTGATCCGATTTGTTTCATTAGCGAGAAGCATGCTGTCAGGCACAATATGCTGAAAGGTTGGAAGATTATTTCGGAGCGGAGGTTTACTATCCATCTGAAAGGCACATATCTCAAACTTGCAGCAATTTTTCAAAGCAAAAAAATGAGGCACCTGATTAACCCGATTGATAGGATCAACTATGAGTTGGTTAGGGAATTTTATGCAAATGCTTTGCAGCCCGAGGGGGAAGTTTTTAGGTACAAAATTTTCATCCGAGGGAAAGAAGTGTGATTCAACCGTAACACCATCAATGACCTTTTTGGGAAACCAAGTTCTTTAGGCGTTCTTGAAAAAGATGATTACACAAAGGAGCTTGGTACACACCTGGATCACATGAAAATTGAAAAGTCAATTCTTTTTGAAGGAAACAGTGTGGAGCAGAACAATGTGGGTGAGGCGATCCGATATTGAAGGGAAGACATGCCACGAGAAGTTCAAGCTATTCTTCTTCTGATCCTATACAACGTCGGAAGGTGTGAGAAAAACACAAGAAAGGGGGGTTTGAATTAGGTTTTTAAAATTGAAATCTTTTTATGAAACTCAAACAAAAATCACAAAGAACTAAACAAGAAAGAAAGACCCACGATATACCCTGGTTCACTTGAAAACTATCAAGCTAATTCAGTCCACTTGTCAAGGTGATTTTTCCTTATTCAAGGACTTAATCTAATATAATCAACTGATTATAATCTGCACTAGCAATTGCTGGTGACTAACAACCACAAAGACTAACGGTCTAAGTCTTCTTAAGGATTCTGACCTAACTGGTCCCTTAAGGAATTACAAACAATAGTTTGTGAAAGATAAATGTTTATAATGAAATGCTTCTAATCAAGCAGATATAAACACTATGAATATCTAAAATACTTAAAGAAAATTTGCACACAGTATAGGTATAATTGTTGTGTTCTTGCGTTGTGGTGCTTCACTATTTTTGTTTTGTTGCTTGCTTGCAATTTTCTTGAAGTTATCAAGTCCTTATATAGCCAATAAAAGATCTGTTGGATGGCTGATCAAGAATATCCTTGAGTGAGCTAGCGACTCGAAAGAATGTCGTTACGTAGGGATGAAAAACGTACACATAGGTTGTCTTTTTCACCACAAAATCAGGGTAGTGGAATGGAACATTTTGATACGTACTATGTAATATTTCCCTCGTAAACATTTGACCTTATCTTCTCTACATCAGAGGCTTCTCAATAAATATGATTGAAGCATGAGTAGAAGAGTTGATCACTGGGTCTTCAGAGTCTTCAGAACTTGTTCACCAGAACCTTGTCTTCAGAGTCTTCAACACTTAATCTTCAGAGCCTTTAGTCTTCAGAAACTTAAGTCTTCAGAGTCTCTAGAATTTGTTCAGGAAAACCTTGTCTTCAGAGTCTTCAGCACTTAGTCTTCAGAACTTTTAATCTTCAGAAACTTAAGTCTTTAGAGTCTTTAGAACTTTGTTTAGCAGAACCTTGTCTTCAGAATTTTAGCACTTAGTTTTCATAAGCGAACAACTTCAGAAGCTAGAAAGCCTTCAGAAGTAAATAACCAGAGTCACACTCAGAGGCAGAATCCAAGAGAGCATTGCATCAACAACATATTGTCTTCTTAGAATCTTTCTGAATGTGATTAGGTACAGAAGTATACTTGCTTCTTTGGTGCAGATGCGACTTATGTCATACCAGAATGACGTTGCAATCAAAGTCAGAACCTGTTTGTTAAAACTTCAGAATAACAAACCGTTAGAGTACCAAAATTATTTTCACACAAATACTACCTTGTTATTATTAAAACTTATAGATAAACAGCAAAACCAAATCTTGTTCTAACAACGTCAAGCCTAAGATGCACATATCAACTGTACCGATTGACGTTGCTTTGCTTTTGTATTACATTATCGAGGACAGAGATATGGACGTGACTCGGGTAATTGCTAATGTGATGAAGATGTTCATTAAAAACACCAGGTGACCTGAGGTACATTCTAGTGCTCCCATTATTTTTCCTTGTCTGGTTACCACTTTGTGTCTAAAAAAGTGGGTTCTTATACCGGATGTCATTAATGAGAAAGTAAGGGGAGTAGTTAATTATGATTACATTGAGAGGTATTGTAAAGGAAAATTGAGTTAGAAGAAGAAAGGTGCGAGTGGTGGTGAGTCGTTTCGTGCTCAAGAAAGTGAGCCATTCGAGACACTTGATTTCTCTACTTGGGACGTGAGGATGAGAACGACTTTCAACTATTCATGGGATATGGCCGAAGCTTACCAAAGGTCATTCGAGTTTAATTTTAATTGTATGCAACAATTGTACCAATATCAGACGTTTCCTACTCGTGAGGATTATGATAACTATACAAATTGGCCTGTGGATAGACGACCTTTCTCTTCGAAGAGGGCAACAACTGGAGCATCTGGAGTGGATGGTGATGGTGATGAGGAGATGCATGATGAGATGCAAGATTTTCTGGATTAGGGGCTCGACTACAAAGTAAATAATATCTTTATTTTTGTCATTTATTTTCAGTATTTTATTTCAGTTTATTTAAGAGATACATCTGTTCCCAAACATAATGTAGTATCATTATAAATTGAATGTTTCTTGACACGATGAAACACACAAAAAATACAATCTGTCTCAAATTATTTTCTCATTCTAAATTTTCTTTCTCATCTCTAATGCATGAGAGCAAGAAAAAGAAATATATACTATCAAAGATACGCAAAATTCGCCGGTAAACCCGTTTGCATCCAACATACTAAGATTGGTGGGGACGAATTGTTCCTTAAGCTTAGTGTGGAAACATCCAACATACCAAGATTGGTGGGGACGAATTGTTCCTTAAGCTTAGTGTGGAAACATCCAACATACCAAGATTGGTGGGGACCAATTGTTCCTTAAGTTTAGTGTGGAAACATACGCTTTGGAAATTTATCAAGAAAATTTATTTCTCTATTTTCATCTCCATTAATTCTTAGTTTTGCAGCAGTCTCAAAGACTATATATCTAACATATATAATTGATGTTCAGCAAGACATTCAAGCAGACTATTATTGTACATACACAACTTCCTAGTAACAAAATTGTTATCATTAAGAAAACAAAATTCTGCTTCTGCAATAACAAAAACATTTGAATGATTCAGAAAACAGGTTTACAAAAAATGCTTCCGAAAATGTGATTATGGATTTACTTGGTATGCTTCAGCTTCATTGAAGGTAGTTCAGCTGAGAAAGGAGTTGTTGTAATTCATGGTAGAGCTGTTATTGGAAGGATTGATATCGATTTTGTTTGTGCAACTCTTGACAGAAGGCCACCTGAGAAATGTGTATCATAAAATTTTCATTTACATGTTATAGTTTAGATCTCATGCAGGACCACAACAACAAAATTTTGTTAAATGTGGTAAAAGGTAAGAGAATTCATGTCTGTTATTTATTTTCACAACAATTTACTTCTGTTTCACTGTTGTTGAGCGTATTAAAAGTCAATGCCTTTGAGTGTTTTGCAGCCTTTTCACCTTTGAAACTTAGATTCGGTGTAATGCTGCAAGATAAGTTCATATAACAGAAGGAGCTGGTGGTCACATCTCCGACAAAATTCTTGATCCAACCTATCTTGATGGAGCGGCTGCCACATTCAGCAGCCTTAAAAATGTACTTCAAAGTTCAACAACCACAGCTAAACCATGGGTTGGTGAGGCTGGTGGTGCTTACAGTAGTGGCTGTCATCTCGAATCCGATGCATTTGTCAGCAGCTTCTGGTTAGTGACCCTCCCCCACGATTTATGAATACTACCTCTGATACTTAATATAAGAAAAAATTTACTTTTTAAATTTATTAAAGAATCAGTGTATTTAGACAGCATATAGTTCAGATACAATGTAAATTTTTTCTAATACTAAGGGTGAGAGGGAGTAGATGGATCGGAATTCCATAAAAGCATTTTATTGATATAATCATATGAAATGCAGGTATTTGGATCAGCTTGGCATGTCAGCTACTTATGGCACCAGCACATATTGCATACAGACTTTGATAGGAGGAATCTATGGTTTATTGAATACAACTACTTTCATGCCAAATCCAGACTATTACAGTTCTCTTCTTTGGCACCGACCCATGGGATCACACGTCCTGTCAACTACCTTCTCCGGAACAAAGAAGATCAGAACATATGCACATTGTACAAAGGAAACTAAGGGAGTCACAATACTGTTTCTGAATTTGGACAACAGCACCACTGTTGAAACCAGAGTGTCCTTTCATTTTGGTAGGAAACCTTTCCCTCCTTATAAGGGAATAGCAAAGAGAAAACAGTATCATTTAACAGCAAAGGTTGGGAATATACATAGCCAAACAATGTTACTAAACGGAAACACTCTAAACGTAAACTCAGCCGGTGATATTCCTCGGTTGAATCCTATATATGTCGATCCTTCAAAGCCAGTAACACTTGGTCCTCGCTCTATTGTATTTGCTCATATAGCAGATATTATTACCAAAGTTTGCAGCTAGCGAACTCAATGGCACTAGGTGAAACCAAAAATTGGTTTCCTTTGGTATTTGATAGAGTTTTGCATATTCACAATGTACTATTCAGCTCATTCTGAAAATCGTAAATTTTATAATAATAAATTGAAAGTGATATTCAATATCGTTGCCATAGGTAGTGAATTTTCAAAGATTACAGATGTCGCTACGTATTTTTCGGTGACCAACCAGCATCATCAATTAAAAATATACACCTTCTATAAACAACAGTAACGTACCTATGAAGCTATGCTATCGTTTCTTTGTACATAAATAACTAATCTTGACTTGTAGATCAAACAGATATACACTCCCTCGGTCAAAAATCTGTTTATCATATGGTTTCTTCGAATGATTGAACCAACGATCAGTTTTCCTCAGAAAAACTTTGAGGCTTACTGCTGGCGAACACCAACCATACAATAGTCCCACTCAAATAGAAGAAGATTGATGGTGCATATAGTGATATCTACATGGTATAAAGATGAATTTCAAATTAAATACGAACGATATAGATATGTATCATATTGTGAGAAAAAATTTATCACTAGAATAAACCTACACTCCATGAATGAGTTGAATCAAGAAGATAACCGGTGAGGGCTACACCTACAATTCCAGGTACAGCCCCGACGGTATTAGTTATACCCTGAGAGACAATCGAAAATAAAAAATAAAAAAAGAAAAGGTCAGAATTATCAGATACAATTAAAAACAAGTATATGAAGCCACTCGTGTTTCTTCATATGATATAAGTGATATAAGTTCGAGCACACATACCAGAAGTATACTTGCATATTCTGGTGAGATGTCTTGATGGGTACAATAAAGTCCTGCAGAAGCAAATAAATACAAAAGTTAAGGCAAAAAAAGAATATGATTTGAATAATTATTACAATAAAAATCAGGTAAATTATAGTTATAGGGTTTATTTAGTACCTGACAACGCAAAGCTTGAGAGGGCTAAACCACCTGTGAGAAGGCCCACAATCTCCCAAGGCGGTAATCCTAGATCCAGCGATGAAAGAGTCATACAGACTGCAGGAGATAAAAATGCAATTGATTGGCAGATCTTTCGAACCTATATTTAAGAGAAATTCCGGCGACAAAGGAATTAAGAATAAACCTCAACAATTATTGCACAAATCAAGGAAATCAGTGAATTTTGTTGTGTTTTTCTGAAATCAATCGTCTTTTTCCTATGATGCCCTTAACTATTTATTACTGTATTGCACCTATTTCTCTCTTTGCAATAAATAGATAATGGTGTTAGTGACAAAACAACAGTTAATGTTGTATTTAACTTTAAAAATGACAATAAACAGGAACGATTATTTTCTAAAAAACGGCAGTTAGAAAGGAACAAGGGAGTAAACCGTAAGGAAACAAATTTGATATAGTATGCAGTAAGTATTCGTATAATAAGCAACAAATAATTGATGTAATGATGTTTCAATGCCTCTCATACCGTAGTGGTTTCAACTCCTTTTGAAATCAAGCTATCGGCCAACTGTGACGCTATACTTGTCACAAATATTGAAGCCAGAGGAGGAAGAATAGACACCTGAAATGATTCAGAACTCACAATTCTTAGTATGTATGTAGTTGGCTTATTGCACACCCTTTCCGTCGAACTCAAACAAAGACTGAAAACAATTAAGTTTCAGTCCCCTAGGCATGAAGAAGGAAAAAAATTATTAATCTTACCCATGCGGCTTCTGTCAGATTTAGGTCCAGCTCCTGACTACACATCATATGGATTGAAAGATCAGATTCTCCGTCAAGTAAAAATTGTAAATAATACTAGAGCAAAATGTTTAATAAAGTTTATTTTAAGAAAAATACTTTGAACATGTATACCCCGAAATAGAGTAAAATGTAGAAACGGATCAAGTATTGAATGCTCAGTGATTACCTAAAATACGTGGGAAGCCATGAGAGACAAGTATAGTGACCCCAGCTACCACAGAAATGAGCATATATCATTGCCCATACAGCACGACTTCGGAAAAAGGCCTTCCATGGTACATCCTATATTTTAAGAAAAAAACACAAAACAAAGGTCCATGGCATATATTGTAAGTATTCACTCAGAAAAAGGACCCAATGAGTGTAAATCATAACATATTTTACCAATACCTTCAAAGAGCTATTCATTTCTGTTAGAGAAGTTTGCCATGATTGTGTTGTGTTACCCTGTGCTGCTTTGGATAACCAAGGTCAAAAGTGAGAAACAACCAATTAAACCACAATCCTCAAAAAGAGTAAGCAAAAGAAAAAAGCTTGGAACCGAACAGTATGGGCAACTCTGCCAACCATATATAAACAACATGTAGGAAACATTCAACGCATAACATATAAAGAATGGCATAGTCATAGACACTTTCTTTGTTTATAATTTATCAATTCGTAAACAAAAGCACAGATCATGAGAACCAGTCCACTTATATGTTGAAAAAATATTTCCAACGAGAAAGACATTATTTATTACCATTCATTCAATAATAATCGGGTTATTTTGCTCAAACTAATAAAACTTCAAAAATTAAAACAAGTGCTTACATGAATAAGATTTGGCAGCTAACTGTGTTTCACCGTCTTCGAGAAATTGAAACCCCAAAAACCTTCAAAGTTTATTGCAATAACACAAGTCATAATCAAATTACCGGATTTGCAACACAAGTGCTTACTGGATATTCGCCATTTCTACTTACCAAGCAACCCCTAAGAGACCGAATAAATAGAACACTGATTCCCAACCAAGATTTTGGATGAGGGGAGGAGCGAAAAGAAGCCTGACAAATATTAGTTTTGAAATTGAGGTTAGATGATATAAAAAATAAATTACAATCACATATGATTCTACTATATGGTAGAAATTGCATACCCCAGAACACTTCCTACACTCAAGCCACCAAAAACAAATGCTACTGCCCGTGAGCGTTCTTCCAATGGTATTGACCTGCACATGGTGATCAACATTACCAATCAACATGGTGAAGATTAATATAATCAATACAAAAAACACATGGTATTTGTCAAATTAATAACACATCAGAGTGAGCCAAATATGTATTTGGATGGTCACATGCCTAGCAATGAGATCAGTAGCAGCAGATGGTGAAACTCCTTCACCTATTCCAACCTAGATATACAATGGAACGAAAGTGATCAATATAATAGCATTGGATAATATATCAAATGCAACCATGATTTACGTTAAACAGTAATAACAGTAGCAGACACAAGTAGAACATCCAGTGGAAAGATTAACGCTATAAAACCATGACATTCTGTGAGATCAGTCAAGAATTCATACGCATAAATTGAAAAGGAATTACTGACCAAAATCCTTGTCAATAGTAAGCCAGGTAAATATCCAGCAAGAAGAGGAACAAGAGCTGTAGCCACTGACCATACCAGCACTCCAATCTCAAGAACTTTTCTGAAACATAATGACAACAGCGTAACATCATAAACCCAGAAACAAATACAATATTCTTATACCAATCCTATGCCTGCCAGCTCAGTTATGCTTTGTTCTCTTAAACTCCACACTAACTTTCCAAATAGTTCAATAAGCCATTCAAAGCCCTCAAGTCAAGCTCACACACCATAATGCCCGTGCAGTTATACCTTTACATCATCTATATGATAAATAACTACATTTGGAAAGTTATCCACAGCCGGAAGCTAAAGAACAATCCTTCCAGTTACAAATATATTTAAGGGGCCGACCTCTCCCAATACGTCCTCTTCCATACGCACCTTAAGCAATCGAAATCACAACCACATGCTTAAAAGACCAAGTTATCTGTCAACTATGCCATATCATGTTGGTACATTTGGAAATGTTTGTAAATGAGCCTTATCCCTTTAAATCCCTAGATTCTAGACCTAAATTAGAGAAATCTCTGAGTACCAAAACAGCAACTTTGGACAAGGATAAAACATAACAAACTTGTAAGTAAGTAAGTAACTAACCTGCCACCAAAAATCTTGGCCAACCAACCACCAGGCAATTGACTCAATGCATAACCCCAAAAGAATGAAGACTGAACCAACCCAGCCGTTGATGAGCTCCATCCGAATTGATGCGACAACGGAATTATTGCAATACTCAAATTCACCTGTTCCCAATTAAACACAGTAATAAAAAATCAATTTTGATTTCTGGGTTTGTAATAATAATGAAAAAGAAGAATAAAGTAACAAATAAGAACCTTATCCATGTTGCATATAACGAAAGCAAGTGAAGTAGTGCCTATGAGTTTGTATCTTAGGGGAAGATTCTTCCATGGTGGCCAATTCCCAGAAAAACCGTCTAGATGTAGTTGTTCCTCCACATCATTGTCAAGGTCGGTGAGAGTATTGGACTTGGCTTTGGTCACTTTATTGTGGCTTTCTTTGGTATCTTTTTGTTGAGTGTTGTTACATGATACAAGTACAATTCTGTGTCTGTGGATGAGTTTGGAAGGTGTGAAATGGAAGCGTTGAAATGGGGTTTTGATGAAAGGGTTGTGTGAGTTAGTTCTGAGAATTTGAGTTTGAGGGGAAAAGCATGGTTTGTTATGTGGTTTGGGAGTGAATATGGTCATTTTGATGAGTTTTGAGAGAGGAAGGAAGGATTGGTTGTTTTTAGAAGATTGGGCAGTGCCATAGCATGATATGATATGACATCAGAGAAGGGAGGGAAAGGCAAAGTATGGTACTGCGAGGTAGCCACGGAGGAGATAGTGCTTGTGGCTCAAATCAAATGGGAGATTTTGAGCTACACACGACAACACAATTTGTTTTTTTGTTTGATAATTGTTGAAACTTGAAGTATTGTCTTTGGGTGTGTGTGACTTCAAAAAGTACTAGATAGATAGTTTTCAATTCTATAAATAGTTTTTAGGAATTACTTATTGCATCCTATAGATTATTTCTCCACTCTTGTAAAAATCCAATAATATTTATAGAATTTGAAATATATTTCTGAATCAAACCATTAGATTATGTAAAAAGACATGACTAAAATGCATCTATGTTTACATTTCGACGATGCAACTTCAAAGGATGTAGAATCAAAAAGGGCACCAAACCCTTCTTGTTTCTTGCTTATGAAAATAAATTATGTCTAAACCTCTCAAGTTTCTCAAACTCTCGTAATTCGCATTTTCTCAAAATCATTTAACGAACTTTAAAGCTTCTTCCATCAACATCAAGTTGATCATAGAGTCCAACTCATAGTTTGTAAGTTTTCTTATTTTTCTAAAAAAAATTTTTTTTTGTATATATTTGTAGAAATTGAGAATTGGGTTACGTAATATGTAATTATACATGTTATTTACATGAGAAACGTGTTTGATAGGTAGTTTTAATGGTCAATGCATTATTTCATACGTTTAGAAAGGGACTGCATTTCAGCGATTAACGTCACTCTAAGTTGTAACAAATTTCGGAGATGGATCTCCAAAAAATTTCAACGTTTTGATTCCTAAAATCTGGAGATGCATCTCTAAAATATTTAAATATGCCTTTTTGACTTTGTTTGATTTGACCTCATTTTCTTTCATATGTATAATGCTTGTGTAGTTTACTTACATGCATTATGGTTGATATGCACGAAAGATTAAGGCACGAAAGAATTGCACAGCGTGCATCGGTTCTGAGAGAAAATACTCAACCATCGCAAGTACCTATTATTTCTAGCTTAGTTGATGCTGAGGCGTCAGCTTCTAAGGGTCATGCATCTTCGCCTTTGTCTTTCTGTAAGATTCGGTGTCACCTATTCGTGCATCTTCGCCACCATCCTGTAGGAGACAGATTTCACCTATTCAGACACTAGAGGTACTAGAGGACCCACAGGCTTAGAAGGCACCCAAGACACCTGAGAGGTTTGGAGAAAGCCCATCAGACTTGTCATTTCTGCCTCTTTACATGGACCATATTTCTAGACATGTCTAGGACGGAGAGGTAAAACTTAGTTGGCATTATTTGTAAATCATGTTTGTTATAATATCTGAAGTTTCTGACGTTGATATATTTTGTTGCAGGACCGTGATGCTTTAAAGTTCATCAACCATGGCCAAAAGATTATGGGTCTACAGCAGCCTAATGAGGACTGGTTTCAGGATATGCTTCGACTATCTGGGTTGAGCGATATGTGTATGGTCAGTTATGGTGCAGTTAATCATGGTATGTTATTCGCGTTTATAGAGAGATGACATTCAGAGACCCATTATTCCATCTTCCACATGGTGAGATGTTGATCACACTAGATAATGCCTCGTTTCTGTTGCATCTTTTAATCAGGGGAAACTATTAGACCACTACAACGTTAATAGAGATGATGCATTGGAGATGATGGTTGACTGTATGGGAGTTGACTTAGGATACACCATCAAGGAGTTAAAAGCCATCTGAGGCGTTCATGTTAGGTTTCGATTCCTTGAAAGGTTGTATACACAACAGCTACAACCGACAGAGGAGGCCACGGGTGATTATGAGCAGGTTGTGAAGCATATAGCATACACTCTGAGAGCATACCTATTGTATTTGATTGTCACGTCCATTTTTGTGGATAATAGTGACACTTATGTGGATGTCATCTACCTGTGCTACTTTGATAACTTGGAGAGGATCCATGAGTATAACTAAGGGGTCGTTTATTCAGTCTACATGTACTCCAAGTTAGTCAAATGCTCTATGTGGAAGATCAAACAATTGATAGGAAGCATCACACTGTAGACGGTAATATTTCTGCATCTTTTAGTGTTTGTGTGTCATTTTCATAACACTTTTGCAACGCCATTACTAATGATTCATATGTTCCATTTTTAGACTTGAATTCTCCAGCACTTCCCATGCATATCTGGTTGGTCATGTGTTTTGACCTACACTAAGGATATATATATACCACGTGATTCTGCTTTTGTCCCGCTCAGAGGGAATCAGGCGATGGAGTCATGCAAAGTGTATCTTGACCGCTTGGTAGTAGAGGATATACACTTTCATACTTACATCAATCATCGTGAGACGCACCCCTTTTACGACATAGCCTTTATACTCGGGATGGTTAGGAATGGTTGGCTTGGGGTTCACATCTGACACATCCTCATCAGCCTTAGCGCGTCATGCAGTAGTTCGGCTACATGAAACTTATTCCCAGAGACTTTAATGTGTCTACTCATCTCGATATGACACGTAGAGTTGTGGATGTTATGTTTGATTATTATCTTAATCATCTGGTACCAAAGGAGACACAAAGTACCATAGCCTCTAGTGAGTTGAGCTATGTAGACGATTACATTCAGTGGTTCTTTAGGATGACACATTCTTATATGATACAAGATACTCATGGAGATCCACCTAGGCTAGCTCGTTAGTACATACTAGAGGAGGAACAGACTATGGCAGATCATGTTGTTGATGTGTTACTTAGATATCATCGTATCATGGAGATTGGATAGGCGGGTATTGATAGGTGAATCTTTTTGGATGGTTGTGAGGTGAGGGACATTTTAGATGTCATGGTGATGGAGACGCGAGAGACACCATAGTACAAGAGACAGCATAGAAACAGGGGGGGCCCAAGTCCGTCATACGTAATAATTTATAGTATTTGTACTCTTGATTAATTATCGGTTGCATTTTATTTTGACTTATTTCGACTTTGTTATGTACTCTAGATTTATTATTTTATATATGTCATTTTTATCATATTGGTTATATGGTTTAATTTATACAAACAAAAATATAAAATTATAGTATAGTTATAACATATCATCAAATTCATCAGAGCATTTCTAAATCAAAGTAAAAAATTATTGTCTGGTGTTATTTCGGAGATGCATCTCCAAATTATGTCTGGTATGAATATGTAGATGCATCTCCAGATCAATTTATTTCAAAAAAAGGGTGTTTCATTGAGGAATGCATGGTGTACACTGAGTTGTTTTGGAGATGCATCTCCAGAATAAATTTTGGAAAAAATCTTAACTTCCACTCGATTTTGACGTTTTGAATGAAGCGTATAGTGCGTCTGGAGATGCATCTCCAGAATCTGAGGGCCAACTTCGGACTTTCATGGGGATTTTTTCACCTATTAGGGTGGGATTAGTAATTCCCATATCTTTCACAATCATGTATATTATTCCTCTATTCACTGGTGTTTTGGGTAAACAATCGTGTAGTTTTAAATTTATTGCTTGAAGGACCAAATTAGTAAATCTCAGGGCAATTTTGTGCTAATTTTCTGGGAAAAAAGAGATTATGCATTTAATGTTGTCGGATTGCTTGCAGTGAATATTGGATGTCTTAGAAAAATTATCAAGTTTTGAAGTAAATAGACTACGAGATTTCGACTAGGTCAAAATTGATTACTTGAATGGTAAAGAAAAATAAGTAAAGAATAACTTAGATAGCAAAGATATTTATTTGCATAAATGTAAAAGTAGTAGGTAAGTACATTTCTTCAAACAAAAACTTGTTTCTCTCTTTTGTGCAGGTACTTTGAATGTATATTGAAGTTTACAATATTTTTTTCCACCCCTAATCCTATCACTAAAACTCATATTTATAATGTTATGAACTAATGATCTCCCAACGATTAGATGCCCTTCTGTACGACACGTCATGCTTGCATGCATGACTAGCCTTCGATTGATCTCCAGGTCTCTTTAGCATTTTGGATAAGACCACAAGACAATTTCTTTAGTTTGAAATTTGAATTTGCCTCCATTCGAACTCCTTCGACCTGTCAAACTTAAAGAATGACCATCTTCTTGAAATTTTACTAAGTCCCAGACTAGACTCCTCTACATTTAAATGTTATTGTTCCTTCTTCCCAGGTTATTGGTTGAAAGGAATTATGACCTTACCTTATGCTTGCATAAATTCCAATTGGCTTCTTCGTCGAATTTCTTCTTTTAGACTTTCTTGGCTAACAAATTGCCCCAATATGTCATTTTCTATTCATTATTTGAGAGACATGTAGCATTTTTGACATTCCACAACTATTCGAGGTTATGCACTGATGTCACCATCATCTTGGCTACTCCATATAACGTCTCTTCGAGACGTGTAGGTTCAGAAAAGCTACCATGGCTCCGAGTTCCTAGGAAGACGTGGGCTATGCGGAAGATCCAACTTTCCACTTCATCATTTTTAGTGGGACACTTGTCACCAAGTTCAATTTTTGTTTTTCTTTTAAAGAAAAATAAAGAAACTAAACATATTCTTTTTCTAAACTATAAATAGTCTCCTTCTCCCATTTTGATATTTTTTTCCAACTTTCTCCATTTTTCACAAAGCTTTCAAATCCTTCCTTAATGAGAAACTCAAACTCTACTTACCTAAATGGCTCCCAAATCAAACTCAAAACCATAGATTCATGTGGATGCATCCATTATCACGGCCACTCTCACTAGTGTCGCATCTTGTAAAAATATGACCTTGCAAGCGTTCGCACGCTCGCAGAAATGATTAAACACAGTCACCACCGAACTTTATTTATTCCAATGAAGGAAAGGAAAATATCTATAAAACCCTTAAAATAATGAGAAAATGGTCGCTGCAACCAAATTCAGGTTCAGGAGTCAATTACGCAAGGGGG